AACTATTTGTGTCCCGAACTCTATATACAACAGTTAAATGAGGATAATCAGAATGCTCTGTCTCATATTCTGTGCTGAAGACGTTTGACAGAGCGCAAAACACGAAATATCCATTACACATTACACATTCTCTTAATAATAATAATAATAATTCAGTCTCACGGTTGTTGTTAACCCTTCTATTTGAGAAATAACTATCCAAATAAAAAATAAATGATTTAGCAGTTGTGGAAAACATCATTTGTTGTCCTTACAAGTCTTAAGTCTCTTCCTTTGTTTTTTCCTTTGATTTGTATGAAGGCTGATCAACAGTGGATGAATATTGTTGTAAACTGTTTCCTTGTTTTCCATTTTATGTGAAGTTTATTATCCATAACAATGTTCTTTCACTACATATTAAGGAGTCATAGATCAATATATTAGCCAATATTTCTGTGGCCAAAATGCTTTGACATATGTGACCCTGGACCACAAAAATTTCCTACTGTAAAATATCAAAACTTACATTTTGATTAGTAATATGCATTGCTAAGGACTTCATTTGGACAACTTTAAAGGTGATTTTCTCAATATTTTAATTTTTTTTGCACCCTCAGATTCCAGCTTTTCAAATAGTCGTATCTCGGCCAAATATTGTCCTATCCTAACAAACCATACATCAATGGAAAGCTTATTTAATCAGATTGAATATGTTGTATAAATCTCAATTTTAAAAAATTGACCCTTATGACTGGTTTTGTGGTCCAGGGTCACATATTGAGTGCGGCAGCACAACTTTTCAGGATCCAACACACAGCTTTGTTAATGTATAATAAACATTCAGTTTTAATTTCAGAAACGTTTGAGAAGATATTGTTTAAAATGAAGTTTGTATTTGTTTTACTTGCCATAATTAATTATTACAGGGCTTTCACGGGTCTTCAAAAAGTCTTAAAAAGTCTTAGTTGTATCAAATTTAAGCCCATAAAAAGTCTTAAATGGTACAAGAAAGTCTTAATTTTGTTTTCAAGAGGTCTTAAATTTGAGGACGGAAATTGAAGAATTGTGAAATAGCTTAACAAAGGCTATGATTTCATTGATTAAAAATGAGCGCTGCATGTTTCAAAGTCATGTGCTGTGCTGCTTTGTGGACTGCGATTACCGGGGGAACAGGGCTGTCGCTAGTGGGGTGAAAGGTGATGACGATTATAGGGGACTACAGCTGAGGGGGGCCCCCGGCCATTTCAGCCACACAGAGAGCCATGTCTCACAGACAGTGCACAAACACCGAACCGAGCTTTCTTTCGCATCCTCCTGCACCTGAACGAACAAATAAATCTAGCCAGTTTAAACATACAAACATAAAAAGATGCAAAAAGCTTAATTCAGCACCCGTGCAGAGTTTTGCCTCTCCTTGCTCTTGAACCAACAGATACATACAAAATTATGGCAAGTATCTTCGAAAAGAACTGTCGGTTATGTGAACGTAAACAGTTTGGAAAGAAATTGGATGTGTATCATTATATTGGATCCATTGTCTCTTAAAGTGGTCGCGCCTAATTTACTAGCTGCTGTCGGTGTCCTTAATGTTAATCCAAGAAATTAAATTAGAGAAAATCACTCACAGCTCTTTACTGAATTACTTTGAGGTTTTAACGAGGATTATTCTATATTTAATTTATACAGTGGAGACTGTGCAATGATATTTGATTATTTAGTTTCTGTACCTGGACACCTACAAACTTGAAAAAAACAAACATTGTTTAATTTGTATCTTTGTTTTATTTATTTATTTGTGCTATTTACACAATTTCAAACAGGGCCCATGGGTAAAACCTGCACCAGGGTCCCGCAAATCCCAGCTACAGTCCTGCCGGGGAAACCGCTATATTTCTGTCATTCCAAAAGCACCACCTGCTGGCAGGAGATTGAATTTGACTCATCTCTTTTCTTAGAAATTGTGTACATGCTAAAATGTGAAGTTTATAATTTTATAAAACTTTTTTTTTTGTGAAAACCTGTACCTGAACTGTAAATCATGTTTTTACAGTCATTTTACAGTTTAATATGTTACCGTAGACATTGCTCTACCCCACTCATATGGTATTAATTTTATTTGTGCAGGTCTTAAAAAAGGGTCTTAAGGTTCTCTGTTTTGAGTTTGAATGATGAATAATCACAAAATGAAATGGGACAGAAAGATGTGAGATGTGTGTACAAAAAAAGACATGAGTTTTGTAGTTGGCTGAATAAGTAGAAATAAACATGTTTAGCTTATTTAACACAATTTTTTATCCCTTTGAGGGCAACATGAGTAGTGTTTGTAGGGCGTTTCCTATAAGTCTCTATGATATTCTTGTCCTTACTGTAGATGAATTTTAATGTTCTATGGGGGGTTTTTTTCACCCGACCCGACAATAATAGGTATGGCGCTGTTACACAATGAGGTTTAATACAGTCCAACCTTTAACTTAGGACCCATTTGTGTTATGTCACATTACATAAGACAGTCCCTTTCAAGGAAAGATGTAATTCGGGGAATTAGTCGCCTTCTCCTCGTCTAATGTTATATTAAGAACTGCATGCCTTACTTTTTTTTTAACCCGAACAAAAATACGATTGTTCTTGGTGACAATCAACTTGCTTAAATTTTCGGCATGCATTATAGACCAATTGGCTTATTTTAGTTGTGTGTAACCAGCGGTTAATAGCCCCTGATTCTATTAAAACGGGATGAAGTATGTGTTGAATGTCTTTTGTCATGCCCTGCATGAAGTTGCATGATCAACAGTGGACTCCTTATGAGTCCATTCATCTGATTTCATGCAATATTTCATCCATGAGAGGATGTGATTCTGTTAAGTGAGCAATAACAGCATGCAATCACTTAAAATAAGACATTACACTTGTGGGCTTGCAGCTGTGAGCAGTGAGATCTAGCCTCAACAACAGAGGCAGCAGTCAAAAGCAGCCACATCAAAAGAGACCAAGTTAAGCTACAAACATTTTCATTGAGGTTGATTCTGCCTTAAAATGACAAATTGTTATTAAAAGCCCAAAAGCAGAAAGAAGGACACACTTCATAACCAGACTTCCTTTTTAGACGAGCGCGCACAAACACTACCGGCCAAGCCCCATAAAACACACAGAGATCGTTTTCCTACATTCTAAAGTTGCAACAATCAGCTTTGTATGTGTGTGTCATCTGTTTTTGAACCGAGCACCCGCATGACTAGAGTATTTTGGTCACAGAGCTTAACAGTTTCTTCGTTTGTGTCGTCAGGCTGCCCTCCTTTTCTTGTGTAACTTGTTAATAAAAAGAAGAACAGCTCTCATAAAGGTAGCGGCATATGAGGCCTTGTGTAATGCTACTTTATCAAACCACGACTGCTCTAACACTGTGTGAGCCTCCAGGGAACGCCAAAGGGGAAGTCAACGAGTTTGAAAGAAAAAAATAAGGCACTAGAAATTTCTTGGGATTCGTCACACCTTTAAATCTACATATATTCCAGACCGATGGGCATAGACACATTAAGTCTATGTGTTAAGCTGTACCTACACTCACTCACATCATTAACATATCCCTTCACACTGGTGTTTTTCCCTCAACATTTAGACAGGCTCGTATAACCCCACTACTTAAGAAACCCACCCTTAACCCATCTCTTTTAGAGAACTACAGACCGGTTTCCCTTCTTCCTTTCATTGCAAAAACACTTGAACAAGCTGTGTTCAACCAAGTCTCTATACCTTTCTCACAGAACAACCTCCTTGACAGCGGGGAAAAAATAATAAAATGTATGCCACAAGAATAGCATTGCAGTTTTAGAAAATTAAATGGTCTTCGGAAAACTGTTTCACTTCACTTTTGTACAATTTTAGACCGGAATCAGCAGAATGTCTAGATTTATGTTCTGCAAAAAATGTCTGAGTTAAAATTTCATTCTTTGCTAAACAAAAAAAACAAGTAGGGCCAGTTTTCCTGCTACAGATTAGATCTTGACCAGATGCTTTCATTGTTATGACAATCCATGACCATCACAGAAACCACGTTTAATCTGAGTTAAAAAGCTCAGGCCATATGAAACTCAAAATTACTTGAAATGCTCTTTTTGCACTGTAGACATTTTAGGGGGCATATTCAGAATAGCGGTCAATCAATATGTTTTTCAGTGACCGACCGAAAACCAGGATGACAATAGTTTCCACCAAAATACCACAAAACAACCTTTCCCAGTACTTTCCATGGACAAAGTACAAAATAGGACCTGAAACGTCATTTTCTTTCTCAGCAAGTGGTCAGTGAAAGGAGCTGCTATATGGGTTTATAGTGTCTACAGTTTAACATTTATGTGGCTCTTTGTTTAGCAGTAAACATTAAATGAACAAAATATATGCATTTTTATTAAATAAAATAAACCTATGAATGAGAACATGGGTACGACCCTTTTTTTTACTTACTAAATGAGACCTGATTCTATTATCTGGTAATCAACAGTAGGCCACAGATGCTGATGCTTGCATTTAACCAAAATAGTCTTTAGTCATGTGGACCTGCAAAATATGTCATTTGTATTAGGTGTAAATGAAGAACAGAGTAAAAAGTATAATTTTATAATCAATGTAAATGTAATTAAGTATTCCATTTCAATTGTACTTGAGTAAAGATTAATACTTAAGTATGCTAATAAAGTTTTTTACCATTTTTATATCTAAAGTTTATATGCATTCAACAGATGCTACATTGTATGATTTTAATTGTTAGTGGAGATTACCTCTTAAGTGGTGCAGGCCAAACATACTTAATGCATTTAAAACTTGTTTATGCTAATTTTATTCTAGACTCATCATCACCTCTAACGCTTAAAAAAAACTACCACAGTATATAGGTGGAAACGACGGTTACCACGGTAACGTGTTTTAAAGGGCCAGTCGCAAACTTTCCGTCGGACGCGTCGGCTCGTGGCTGCTCTCATTTATTTACGTTGACAGCAGATAAAGTAGTCGCACCATCCTCTTACCTAACAACAGCAGTCTGTGCGTTTGCTTGTACTCTCTCTTCTCCGCCTTCAGGCTCTTGTCAATGTTTCGACTCCGTTTGTTCTCCGCTTTGGCCCGCGCCCTGTCCTCCACCCGCCGCTGCTCTCTGAGCTGCGTGTCAGAACTGTCCAAATGACCGGACTCGACATCGATCCCGGGACTCGCACCGGTCCGTCCGCCGGTGTATGAGATCGCCGACTGTGATAACCTAGATCTGAAGCTGTGACACATCCCCATGGCCAGAGCTGGGATCGATCCTTAACATTCGAATGGAAAAGTCTTGCAGGATAAGAACACCATGATGATGATGATGATGATGATGGTTATCCAGGTCAGGTGGAGAGAAGGCTCGCTATCCCTTACAGCCTTATCGCTCAGGCTCTCCAAAGGTGTCAGTTAGCCTCATCGGGTTTTCCCTCAGTTTCTGACATTCACGAGTAGACAGGAGTGAACTTTGACCGGACACGCATAGCGTACTTTTCACTGTTTGTTATTCTTGCTCTACTATTTCGGGACGCCACTCCAAGTCCCTCCTCGTCCGCCGGAGCTCTCGCCGCTCCGCTCGCTCTCTCTGGGGCTGACCTGAGATCAGCTCTGCTCCGTAACTTTCGCGCAGCGTTAAATTTTCACGAGCGGCAGGGGGAGGTCACTCACTCCGTGACGTTGTTCAAATATTTGTGGCTTCACAAATTATCTTAAGGGAGATGAAAAACAGTTTAATTTCATTAATCTTGTCTTAATTTTGATGACATTCCATACATACAGAGACAAATATTGATGTTAATAAATAAATGTATTTACAGAAAACACACTTACTGAGTGAAATTAAGTGATTATTTCGATTATTCCCCGTGGCGGTAATTTTATCTCGGTTGTTATTCATAGTGTTGTATAATGTTGTTGTTCGTTGAATAAAAAAAGGTCACCCCGTGACGTCACACGGAAAAAATAGCACAATTTTAGTTTTGTAAACCAAGTATTCCTTTGATCTATTTATAGTTTTATTATATGATGGAAATTGTTAAGATGTATTTATTTATTTTATTCTGTTTTATGTTAAAATTAATTTAATATTATTTTACAGTGTAACTTGTTTATTATTGTAGACACCTTTTTTTTTTTGTACCTAGAGAGCGCACACAACTGTTTTAGAACTGAGTCTGCTGCCATTCCAGCTTTTGGGGGTACAGAGTGCACAGAATATAACAGTTGCAATAATAATATCCTGTAGGTGGCGTTATTATACATTAACATGCAAGTTCAAGACAGACTTGACAGCTGCAATTACTTGTAGATATATTGCAGTCTACCAGTAGCATCATCTTCATTCAAACTGAGTGCACATTTGTTTGTTTTACTTTTTAAATCCTTATAATCAAAGATAGGTCACGATTTGAACCTGCATCTCCTTGCATTCTAATTTTTTTTTTACCACTTATGTAAGAAAAAAAAACCTACAAAGCTTTTATTTATTTATTTGGCATATATCACATATAGGGTGCATATGGGTATGATAGGGTAGAAAGTTAATATTTTCTGAACATTTTCTAGGGTATGACATGATATGAATTAAAAGGGTTGTAAAGATGTCACGCAGGCTATTAAATAAATTAAAAGTGAAGATGACTCTCTTGCCCTTTATCTTCTTTTGCTTTCCCCCTCTTGTCGCTATTTCTGTTTAATTTCCCCAAATAAAATGACCTGAAATCATGAAAGCCCTCATTGTAACTGCAGATCTGACACAGTTTGTACAAAAAGCACAGCACTTTGCTAAATATACGAACTCTCTCCTGTTTCTTGGAAGGTTGAATAACTTGCACAATAGCATGCCTTCTGTTCTTAATCTGTCCTACAGCATGCGTCGTGCATTGACATTATCAACAAGAGTGCCACACTTCACACATTCCCTCCACTTCGGGTCTTTTGAATAACTCAGTACTTGTGCTTTATCTTAACTTATACTATTCATGGTTGATAGTCAAGAATCACCTTAATAAATGATACTAAGATGACTGATTGAGTCCATTTTTAAATGTAGTAGTAAAATAAACAGTTCTTGTGAAAACTACTTGGAGCACAACAGTGGCATCTGTTGGTAAGATATAAATCTGCATATAACCAGCTAACAGAATTTTCTGTCAAGGTTCTCTTAAAAGTTACAAACAAATATTCTTAATAGAGTGTTCATTGAAAGTATGCCTGTATTTATGTAACACCGTGGTCCTGTGAGGCACGACATTTCGTTCCACTGTATGTCCCCACATGCAGCAGAATGACAATAAAGCTCAACTTGACTTGACTTGACTTGACTTGAAAGTTATCTGGTCATTTTCAAAAATGTATCGTCCATGGAATGTTTTTTCCTGAAACATGTTTAATGTTACTACTTGTTCAGAGAACATTCAAAAACAAAATTCCAATAATATTTGCAAATTGGAACATTCCCTTAAAATTTGCATATGCAAGAAAAACTTTTTCAAAATATAAAAAAAAAAACTGGGGCATTCAGAAATAGTGTTTTTAACTTAATGGGAAAGTTGAGTACGCTGCCTGGCCTCCAAACTGAAGTTCCAGACCAGGAAGATGTAAACGTTTATACTGTACAGAACTGCCAGCTTCAACATATAGGCTATAAACAAACTCTCCTTGCAGGAAACACTTAGACAATGAGTATGTGGTCTGTCTGTCTTTCTGACGGTCTGTGTCACTGCATTGCAGCAGATAGGGCCCGCAACAGTCTTATCATGCACACCAGAGAGACGGCCACTGATCCAAGCTCATGATGATAGGACTTTTTTAAATTTTAAATATTCAAACATTTAAACTACCCTTAAATTCTTAACAAACATCATCAATTCTGTCATTCACAGTGGGCTAAACTTTGGCCCTGCAACACAATTGTTGTTATTGACTGAAAGGCAGTAGTCTGTTGTACTAGCTTGCTAATTAATTGTCACACTGACTAGTATGTTATGTGACATATGGGTGACTCCCTCTTGATGATGTCTTCAGTGGTATTACACACACAGTGGGCACCTCAGACTTACGGTCAAGGCTATTCCTGCTCTTTCAACGTGCCAAATCTATCATTATGCGTGAGATTGTTCATCTACAGATCGGACAGTGTGGGAATCAGATCGGCTCAAAGGTGCGATGGGTTTTTATGTGTATTTTTATTATTAGCAGCTGCATTATCATCTTAACCTCAACTTGATTCAAGCTAGACAATCTGATGCAGGCTTATCAGACAAATGAGCATGCATTTCTGTATTATGAGTATTTATTCGTAGTTAAATTCTCAGTTTATGTCATGCATTTCTTTTATTATTATAGTCATTTTATTAGAGTCTACTGTCATTTTGAACAGCATTCTGTTAGTAGCTTAATATTGCAGTAATGTGCTTTTTCAGTTAAAAGCAATAGCAAAAACTTGTTTACTACTATATTTGAAGTATGAAATGCATTTTTAACGTGAATAAATATATAAAGTTATGATACGTGCGGTCAAGGGTGTTCACCCCAGAGTGGTCTAATGTAAGATAAGAGACACAGAGCCTCTTGTGACGGGGTGGGCCTTCTTTATCATGGAAATGAGCTCAGCGGCCTGTAAATGTCTGAGTGATAGATGCAGGTCAAAACTGAATGGCATCCGGAAAAACAATTGCAAGTCACTTAAACTCAACACATAAGTCAGTTATTGAAGGCTTCCTTTGACTCTTTGTGTAGAGAATGACCATTTTTGTCATTTGAAATGACAAAACATTTAATTCAGTGCTGAAGTTATCAGTTTAAGCAGGTCACAATGCAGTTCATTGGAGAAAATATGGTGACTCATTTCCATGTGTTTGCAGTTCTGGGAGGTGATCAGTGATGAACATGGTATTAACAGAGTAGGAGCATATGAGGGCGACATGGACCTTCAGCTGGAGAGGGTCAATGTTTACTTCAATGAAGCACATGGTATGCAGGCCTACATGTTACATTCATATTTTATGCTTGTATACAGTGGCTATTAAAATATTTGTAGGGATTCCCAAACTTTTTTGTCAGCCAAACCCCCTTTTTAATAATAAAAATAAAATTTCTGTTGTAAAATTAAATTGTAATTTTTTTTATACTTGATCATTATAATCATGAAATGCAGATGAGACTATACAGACATTTAATTAAATTACAGCCTTAGAGTTCATAAACGCACTAAGCTATATCATAATTATCATGTAGCCCCATTTGTTTATTTATTTTTTATTTATTTAAATTTTTTTATTAGCTTTTCATCAACTCACAAACCCAAATGACATTCATACATTTTTAGCACATAAATAAATATCTACATTATAAAATATGTTATATGTATAAGATGGTAGTCTATATTGGGTTGAATTTTGGGTAAAAGTTTATATATATATATATATATATATATATATATATATTTTTTTTTAGTATTCTGTTATATCCAATCTGTATTTTTGTTACTGTAAATCGTAGAAGTTATATATTGTGTGAAAAGTAGGTGACTTTATCAGGTAAATGTGTCTTGGACTCGAGGAACAGAGTAACTTCCTGTAACAAAAGTCTCATTGACATGTTTCATTGCCTGTCAGGTGGCAAGTATGTTCCAAGAGCATTGTTAGTGGACCTGGAGCCGGGCACTATGGACAGCGTGAGGGGCAGTCACATAGGACAGCTCTTCAGACCGGATAACTTCATACATGGTGAGCCAGCAATCATCTACATTAAAGACATTTTATTTAGATACCACACGAGTTGACTTCTATAAACTATATAGGGTTGGTTTCATCACTTCTGAAACTAAAAATAAAGCTTCCAAAAGGGGGATTTCACAGTGTTGCCACCGAAGAGCCATTTCAGGCTCCACAAAGAACTTTCCAGTAAACCATTCTTAAAAGAAACTATTTTTTTCTTAGTGTGAACAATATTTAAAAAAAAGAAAGAAAGAAAGAACGGTATGGTAAGGAATGGTAAGGTTCTATGGATGTTAAAGGTTCTTTATAAAGCCATGCAATGCCAATAAAGAACCTGTATTTTTAAGTGTGTTTCATGATATATGTAATATGCAATGTAGATTATATAGATCAATGACATTATTTTGTTTATTAGCCTAATTCTACAATAAGCAGCTCAAACAGTAGCACATTACACTATCAGTGGCCATGAATTTGGTTCCCAGAGAGTGCATCAAATATTAAAATGCATACCTTGCATGCAGTGCGAGTTGTTTTAGATAAAGGTGTCAGCCAAATGTGTGCATGTAATGGGTGGATTTCATTTTTAATTATTTTATCCTAACCATGAATCTGTATGAATAACCATGAATATGTGTAAGTTAGTATCCAGTGCACAATAATGTGCGCTGTAGTTTTGATGTCTGTTGCTTTAAATGCATGTGCTCTTAAAAGTCTAATGGATTCTTATTGGCTGCCAATGTTTTTATCATTCATCAGTTGGAAATGATGCAACAATATCATTCCTCTGTTTCATTATTGTTATTATTATGGTGTGGACTTCACTATTTCCATAGAATTATAATGACTATTAAAACTTCATAGTTATTGTAAAGTTATCCTCCCTGGTTATGAATGAACCCGAACTCAAACTCTGAAATCTGATTGGCTGATACAATGACTCAATGCCACTCATATGCCATAACATCATTCCTGATGCTGTTTTCTCTTTATAAATGTAAAGGCAATTCCGGAGCTGGCAATAACTGGGCCAAAGGTCACTATACTGAGGGCGCAGAACTTGTGGAGCAGGTTGTGGATCGCGTTCGTAACGAAGCCGAGAGCTGCGACTGCATGCAGGGCTTCCAGTTCATCCACTCTCTGGGCGGTGGCACTGGTTCGGGAATGGGCACCCTGATTATCAATAAGATCCGAGAAGAGTATCCTGACCGCATCATGAATAGTTTCAGCGTAATGCCCTCGCCGAAGGTCTCCGATACAGTAGTCGAGCCATATAACGCGACCCTATCAATCCACCAACTGATTGAGAATACAGACGAGACGTATTGTATTGATAATGAAGCGCTGTACGATATCTGCTTCCGCACTCTAAAGCTCACAACGCCAACTTATGGAGATCTCAACCACTTGGTATCCCTCACCATGAGCGGGGTCACGACCTCCCTTCGCTTCCCAGGTCAACTGAATGCTGACCTTCGGAAGCTGGCCGTCAATATGGTGCCCTTCCCACGTCTCCATTTCTTCATGCCAGGTTTCGCTCCTCTCACTGCACGCGGTAACCAACAATACCGTGCCCTAACGGTGCCCGAGCTCACCCAGCAGATGTTCGATCCTCGAAATATGATGACCGCGTGCGACCCACGTCGAGGGCGCTATCTGACAGTGGCGGGCGTTTTCCGCGGTCACATGTCCACTAAAGAGGTCGACGAGCAAATGCTAGCCATTCAGCAGAAGAACAGCAATTACTTCGTAGACTGGATCCCTCACAACGTCAAAGTGGCCGTTTGCGACATCCCACCACGAGGTCTCAAAATGGCCTCCACCTTCATCGGAAACAACACCGCCATCCAGGAGATATTCAAGCGCATTGGAGAGCAGTTCACGCTCATGTTTCGACGCAAGGCCTTCCTGCACTGGTACACGGGGGAGGGCATGGATGAGCTGGAGTTCACCGAGGCCGAGAGCAACATGAATGATTTGGTTTCAGAGTACCAGCAGTATCAGGATGCCACCGCCGATATGGATTACGATGCAGAAGATGAAGAGGCAGAAGAGGAGGGTCTGTCATCAACAGCACACAGCACTCGAGTGGAGATTAAGACTGAGGCGGTCACTGAAACGTCTGTCAGCGAATGACACGTGGGCTTCAGTGAATATAGCAAGAGTGGATCTGATTGTGTGAAGAGTGAGAACATTCAGTGGCCCCAAAAAGTATTTAGACACTTAAGATACAGTTAAAACTGATATATGAGTTATACTGCATTAGAAAAAATAAAACACTGACACAATGATGAACAAGTACATTAACATTCGCAATACCATCGATTTATTGATGATTAAGTAAATATAATTCCTTAATTTACCTTTGTAAAGAAATCTCATTGTTCTCTGCTGTCTTTAACGACAAATTTACCTGTGTCGGCCACCGTAGCTTCTCTAAAGGGAGGGGTGAGCGGGGGACTGAGTCGTTGGTTGCAATTCGCAACATCACCGCTAGATGCCGCTAAAATTTACACACTGCACCTTTAAGTGTTCAGATACTATTTGGAGCCACTGTTCATAGCAAACTGTGAAATATCTCTGACCTCCAGGAGGAAATGATGAATTACATAAATACATAACAATAGGATATATTCAAAATTCAAATATAATTTTCTAATCTTTCCTATATATTTTCAAATGTTTGGGGTCGATACGTTTTTTAAAAAGTCTCACCAAGGCTGCATTTATTTAATAAAAAAAACAGTAAAACCGTAATATTGTGAATATTACTTATAATATATTTTATGAAATGTATTTTATTTCTGTGATGGAAAGCTAAACTTTCAGAAAGAACATTGTTTATTATCAATGCTGAAAACAGCTTTCAGGATTTGATGAATGGAAAGTTCAAAAGAACAGCATTTATTTGAATGTATGTTTGATCAATTTAATGTATCCTTATCAAGTAAAGGTATTCATTCCTTTAAAGAAACTATCTCACTGACCCCAGACCTTTGAACGGTAGTATATAGTTTATTGTAAAGCTTAATTTATAAAGATATCAAAAAATTTATCTATATTGTTGTGTAACATCACTGGAGAACACAACAAAACAATTTCTGTATGTTCTGTAATGAATGAATATCTATAGATGTCTTGAGAAAAATACAGGGGAAAACAAGATAATCAAAACCTTTTTCTTTTGTGTGATGTACTAGTTCTATATAGAGGCTTACATTTTTCTGTCATTATGTCAATATTTAAAACATGCTACATTTTTGAATTTTGTTTATCCTTTGAAAGCATAAGATACAAAATTATTTTACCAATATAAACTGCAACTGTTTCATAATAAATGTGAAGTATCTGCATTGTACTTGAGCATTTATAGTGCTAAAAACATTCATGTGTTTACCATTTATGTAATGCAACCATCAGTTTTCGTGCAAAATGTATTAAAATAATTTTTTTTGGATATCAGCAAGAGACTAAACTACTAAATTTGTGAATCTAAGGGGTTTCACGGTACGTATCTAAATAAAATAGATTAATCTCTGAAAATCTTGCTGTTTTGTTCATGTAAAATAATAGTTATCATCTCTACAAAGTTAAACCTGATGTACACCACCCTCCTAGCAGAACCTGAGAAATATTAGTTATACACAAAGAGCACTGTAAATATTGAAAGGCCAACTTTGCACACATCTTACACTGAGATCATACTAAATGCAACATTTACTTTATTTTTAAATAACTACAGGACTGCAAACCGGTAACAGTTTTAGTGTATCTTCTACTGATGCTCTAAAACCAGACATAACCAGACAGTACTACTTATAAGTCAAACTGATCTGATAGATTAACATGACAATACACCCAGTTTGCTCAGCGAACACCTGCTAAACAGAAAACTCTTTAGAATAAAAACACACCAAGTGAAGACTGTCTTCGTTTGAGACTCTTCATAATTTATTATAAAAAGAACACAGCCCCTTTCATTTAATCAGCATAACTGCAGGTCTTATTGTAAATCCGACGGAGAACGTATGTGGAGAAGTGGGGATTGAAGGATGTAATGACAGATCCTACAAAAAAAAGCAGAGAAGACAATCAATTTTAACAACATAGGTTTTTAAAAAGGTCTAAGTTAATGCATCGTTTTTTACACGTGCTGTAGAGCTTAGATAAACAGCTGAAATTTTAACTCACATTATACAGTCTTCACTTTAGTGACCTTCACACTGGATTCTGCGTTTTTAATCGCCTCAGTTTTCAACTGTGGCTTCAGTGCAGCCCGCACGACCCTGGCGCAGATAGCCGAGTACCTGATGTAACTGAAATAACAAGACACATATTAAGTCACTGAATAGCTTAAAATTGCTCGTGTGAATATATGACCACTGTGATTCAAATTCAACATGACGCTAGTATTACTACAGTAGAATTCATACAGAGCAAGGCCAAACCAACTCTACAGCACATATATAGTGCACAGATTACAGAGCGTACAGCAATTAAAATACTAATTTCACAGCTTTTGACGTTGTTAACTGTCATTCATTTACCTCAGTCCTGCTTGTCTCCAGTAAGCAACCATTTTTCCGCGTAAATGCGTGTCTTACGTCCGTCTAATGCTGCGACTCGCGCTGATCAAGGACGAGAGCAAGCAAGGCCTGTGCGTCCGCCGGAATATACGTCACAAGCCAGCGTACAGTCTCTTCTTCTTCTTTTGGTTTTATGGCGGGTTGCGAACTCATGTCATATGCCTTTTCAATATCAAAATACACTGCTACTAAACCCTCTTTCATTATTATAGCTTTCTTGACATCTGTCTCCAGCTTTATTAATGCATCCAATGTTGAACGACCTTGTAGCGTACAGTCTCATTGGCTGGCAAACATGCCACTCATCATCATAGATATGTGTACGCCTGTTTGTACGCTCATCATACCGTCGCCTGGAATTGAACCAATCACTGCAGTCTAATGATACAAAATGCACATTAACCATGAACTAGTTGAGTACAATTTCAAAACAAAGAGGTTGAATTTCTGTGTATGAATATCTGAATTATTGGTAAATTCCACAAATTCAGATTGATTCAAGTTTTTGGCATTTAAACTGTGTTATATATAAAATATTAATTAATTAATCTCTCTCTCTCTTAATCGCAATATACGGTATATCGATGAATCCCCTTATGCTGCTTGGATTGTGTTGATCAATAAGGTTAATAAAGGTTAACAAATTAAGTACATTGTTATTTATTGCTTTTAAACATTATCCGCTCATTATCTTTTATTTTGTAGCAATGCCCGGATTGACGGATGGTTTGTTGCAGTTTGTTTGCATAAGATTTGATATCACCCGATGCTTATTGTTCATATATATACTTACGACCTATAATAATAATATTAATAATAATAATACTTTGTACAATAGCAATTTTTGCGTTTACATTCATAAAACCCTACGTTATAGTTTAAAATCAAGTATAACATTTTATAAATTTGTAAGAATTACTTTTATGTATATGGGACCCCCTGGTAATATATTAATAGTTGTATAATGTAATATTTTCTTATTCGTAAACATTACGGAGTGGAGACGCTCGATACGTAATGACGTGAGTCACGTTCCTGTGACGTGATGATGTCATGCGGCCTGGGTTAGAGAGGAGGAAGCAGAGAAAACAACAGCAAGCCTGTCGGGTCAGTGACAGACCGCAGCCGCACTGAGGTGTCCCGTCTAGACCAGTAGTCAAAAATCAGTCTAATATCACTCCTTGCTGTCGTCCCGAGGGCAAGATGTCTTTGTTTGGGAAGTTGTTTGGTAGCAGTGGAAAAGGGGGCAAATCTTCAAGCCCCCAAGAGGCTATCCAGCGACTGCGAGAAACAGAAGAAATGTTGACCAAGAAACAAGAATTCCTGGAGAAGAAGATCGAACAGGAGCTTGTAACGGCCAAGAGAAACGGCACGAAGAACAAACGAGGCGAGTTACCTGGCATAGATTAGCTGGTTAACTCAGGTTAGGTTGGCACTGTGGTTGTTACTGCTTCGTTAGTTTAGCGTTGTTTTATGTTGGTCTGTTATACAAAGGAATTCATTAAAAACCTATCTTGTACCTGAAATAATATAATTAACAGACTAATTACCAGGGCTAGACTTTTACTAAAACACATGAGAGCTGTCATACAAAACTGGGAAATGGAATGATCTAGGGATAGATTTTAGAACGATAATTTGCTTTATAATTTTAATAATTCTTTCAGGATGCTTGGGATAGACAGATCAAATGTTGTAGCCCTCCATCAGTTAACATTTGACCTATCCTTGTGTCCATGGTGATGACAAACATGTATGTCATGTTGGTTGACTCTGAGAACAAAATACTAGAAATAATATACAAAATGATCCACAGATGTTAAATTGCAAATGCAGCCTTTAGTAAATATATCCATACTGATACATGTACTTTCTGCAACACATCAATTAAAGATATTGAACTTTTTTTTGGATTGCCCTTTCTTTCTCTCATTTTGGAGAGAATATGTTTTAAAAGCCTTACATTTAGAACCTGAAGATATTTTACTTTATTTACAAAGTAAACATTTTCTGAATAAGAAAATTACTCCAATAATCTTTTAGCAATTTTAGCGAAATTGTAAAAGTCAAGAATAATTTAAAAAGTCTCATATATTACCTTCTGTAACAGTGATAAGATATACTTTAAAACCCTTTTAAAAATAACACAAAATAAAATTACAAAAATTAAAAAATAAATATTTAAAAATTAATGCAGCTGTCCAAATGTTAACTTTATTGTTTGTATGTTTTTTTTAATTACTTTTGTTGTTGTTTTTCTTCTTTATTTGACATTCTCTGAACTGTTAAATAATGCTGTCTACTTAAATACATTCTGTATTTGACTGTTTTTACTGAACTAAATACATAAAAAAGGACTGTAAACTGCCCATCTGCTCAAAACCTGGAAAAAAACTTGTTGTTTTAAACTCCTACTTTGTCATGGTTTCCATTAGTGTCACATTCAGGGTGTGCAAATATAATGATGTAAGTGCAGTTACAATACGTATATTTATAAGTCTGTATTTTTTCTGTCCCATCGATGCTACTAGAGTTGTCCAAATCCAGAGATAGCTCCATAAATAATTTCAGGGCAATATAAGGACCACTGTAAAGAGCCGTCTAGGTTGTAAGGCCTGTAATACAACTCCACATTTAAAGTCCCCAGAACAGAGGTAATCAATAATTGATCTGATTATCCTGTGAGGGCCGCTGGAACACGACGGATGACGCCGCCGATGGTTTTGAGTCCTAGGGGTGTGGGACTGATGTTTTGTCATAGTTTACAATTCCATTGTCTTCATGGAAAAAGTGTTTAATTTGCATGACCTTTGTGTCAGGTGACGTCTTTGGAATGCCCCTTTTGAACGTGCACATGACGTAAGAGTCTGTTGAGGGTTTTATTGTATTGCAAACCTGATAAATTAAGGTTACATTCCATAAATTGCACAAACACAGCTGCTGTTTTATCTTCTACAAATAAATTGACAACTCAAATCATTGTTTTGACAGAGTATAAAATTCTAATCTGTAGAAAGCAAAAATGGAACGTTGTGTTTGGTATACTGACAATTTAGTCTGAATTATTATATATATCTTTTTTTGCATTATGACATCTGTTTCAAATGTAATTTTCCAGTGTCATCCTGATTTAAAAAAAAAAAGGATAAATGAAAGGCAATTACTACTGTGACAGAATTTTATTAGGTTGTTTTTTTAAATAGGTCTATAGTTTCAATGCATTTTAATTGTTAGTTTTAGTTATTTAACTAAAGTACTTAAACTAAATGGAAATGGCAACTAGTTGAAATAAAATAAGTTCCACTTTTTTAAATATTTTATTTTAGTTCAGTTATTATTTATATTAGTTCAAGTAATGAAAATGTTTTGAATGGGTTTTAGTTAACGATAATAACCCTGCTTATAAACACTTTAAAACTTAAATAATACTTTTATTATTTTGAGAATGAGAATGGGCAGATCTTTTTTTTGTTTTGTTTAAATGTTACAATACAAACACATTGTAATGGTCCTAAAATAGGTTTACTGACTTGGTGCAAAATTTCACTTTTTTTTTTTTCTTGACCGGCTTTGCAAGATTCAAACTTTACAAGAAAAGCATGTCTGTACTGATGTGCTTGTCATTAATTTATTATTAGGCTGACAATCACATTCTCCCTACAAAGCAACACTTTTTTCTCTTTTTTTGCAGCTCACTTGCCTGATTAAGTTTGGTGAGTGTGCCTCATTTCATGGTGATGACAAACATGTACGTCATGTTGATTGACTCGGGGAACAAAATCAAGGAAATAAACGGTTCACTGATGTTATCTGGCAAATGCAGCCTTTATTAGATGTATCCATACTCTATGTGATAAATGTACTTTTTGCAACACATCAGTTGAAGATATTGAACTTTTTTTGTATTGCCCTTTCTCTTTCAGTAATTTTAGTGAAATTGTACATTCTCAAGTCGAGAATAACTTAACTCATATATTACCTTCTATAACAGTGATAAGATATACTTTGAAACCCTTTTAAACATAAAAAGAACACAAAATAAGAAAACAATGTCAAAATTAAATCTTTGAAATTTAATGCAACTGTTCAAATGTTTGTATGTTTTTTTTATTATTGTTTTAGAAAAGTGTTTTTCTTCTTTCTTTGACATTCTCTGAATGCTCTGTACTTTTTTGTTCTGTATTTGACTGTCACTGAACTAAATACATAAAAAAAAACTACAATCTTTTCAAAACTTGGAAAAAACATGTTGTTTTAAACTCCTACTTTGTCATGGTTTCCATTAGTGTCACATTCAGGGTGTGCAAATATAATGATGTAAGTGCAGTTACAATACGTATATTTATAAGTCTGTATTTTTTCTGTCCCATCGATGCTACTAGAGTTGTCCAAATCCAGAGATAGCTCCATAAATAATTTCAGGGCAATATAAGGACCACTGTAAAGAGCCGTCTAGGTTGTAAGGCCTGTAATACAACTCCACATTTAAAGTCCCCAGAACAGAGGTAATCAATAATTGATCTGATTATCCTGTGAGGGCCGCTGGAACACGACGGATGACGCCGCCGATGGTTTTGAGTCCTAGGGGTGTGGGACTGATGTTTTGTCATAGTTTACAATTCCATTGTCTTCATGGAAAAAGTGTTTAATTTGCATGACCTTTGTGTCAGGTGACGTCTTTGGAATGCCCCTTTTGAACGTGCACATGACGTAAGAGTCTGTTGAGGGTTTTATTGTATTGCAAACCTGATAAATTAAGGTTACATTCCATAAATTGCACAAACACAGCTGCTGTTTTATCTTCTACAAATAAATTGACAACTCAAATCATTGTTTTGACAGAGTATAAAATTCTAATCTGTAGAAAGCAAAAATGGAACGTTGTGTTTGGCATACTGACAATTTAGTCTGAATTATTATATATATCTTTTTTTGCATTATGACATCTGTTTCAAATGTAATTTTCCAGTGTCATCCTGATTTTAAAAAAAAAAGGATAAATGAAAGGCAATTACTACTGTGACAGAATTTTATTAGGTTGTTTTTTTAAATAGGTCTATAGTTTCAATGCATTTTAATTGTTAGTTTTAGTTATTTAACTAAAGTACTTAAACTAAATGGAAATGGCAACTAGTTGAAATAAAATAAGTTCCACTTTTTTAAATATTTTATTTTAGTTCAGTTATTATTTATATTAGTTCAAGTAATGAAAATGTTTTGAATGGGTTTTAGTTAACGATAATAACCCTGCTTATAAACACTTTAAAACTTAAATAATACTTTTATTATTTTGAGAATGAGAATGGGCAGATCTTTTTTTTGTTTTGTTTAAATGTTACAATACAAACACATTGTAATGGTCCTAAAATAGGTTTACTGACTTGGTGCAAAATTTCACTTTTTTTTTTTTCTTGACCGGCTTTGCAAGATTCAAACTTTACAAGAAAAGCATGTCTGTACTGATGTGCTTGTCATTAATTTATTATTAGGCTGACAATCACATTCTCCCTACAAAGCAACACTTTTTTCTCTTTTTTTGCAGCTCACTTGCCTGATTAAGTTTGGTGAGTGTGCCTCATTTAGGAGTCCCTAACTCTGCACCACTGCTTCCCTGAGAAATATTAACAGTAGTAGACTTTACTTTCCATGTTAAAACCCTAATCAAATGAGAGACCTCACAATTTTAATTTAGTATTGAGAATCTCACGCTGTGGGCTTTCCATCTTACCTTTACTGTACATTTATTTTCCATGCAAACACTTTCTTACCAAAGCCACTTGACAGTATAGTGCACAAACATATAATGCATGACGCTTACTGAGCTAAATCTTAATTGAAATAAAAGGGGCTTCAAATTAAACCAGTTGACCCATAATTATTACATAGTGTTCTCTTTAACTCTTTTAAATAAAACCACACTTAATACTATGCAATACTTTTCTATAGGGTTCCAAAATTCTCTTATTTTGCACTTTAATGACTTTACCTTTCTTTCTGTTTGAAACAGCTGCATTGCAGGCACTGAAGCGTAAGAAGCGCTACGAGAAGCAGTTAGCTCAGATTGATGGCACTCTTTCTACCATCGAGTTCCAGCGGGAGGCGCTAGAGAACGCGCACACCAACACCGAGGTCATCAAGAATATGGGCTTTGCTGCTAAGGCCATGAAAGCTGCCCATGACAACATGTGAGGAGCTTCTCTTCTATTATCAGTGTTTTCTTCCCTTTTTGTATCAGCCTCACTACGGCGAGGTTTTGGGTTTATGAGATCTTAAACAAGATTAGTTTACCAGTGCAAGCTATTAGGATTCTGTATGGCACTTTGATATAGGATATATCTAAATTTGTACTTTCAGGGACATCGACAAAGTGGATGAACTCATGCAGGACATCACAGAACAGCAGGAGCTGGCGCAAGAAATTTCAGACGCAATCTCAAAGCCTGTCGGGTTTGGGGAGGAATTCGATGAGGTAAGATTAAAACAAGCAAACTCCACAGCCATGATGAACCTTAACCTGCTGAGTTTTTGGGAGATTTCCATGTGCTTTCACAAAGGTGTCATTAAATCCCGCTATTAACATCTAATTTGGGTGAACTGATCACAAGCGGACCGCACTGAATACTGGTCTAAATGGGTCTAGTTCATTTATAAGGATGTTAGCACATTGCATGTGTGTTATAAAATGCTCATGCAACAACATCAAAGATCCGCTTACTCATTAAGGACACAATATTTGTGCAAAAATCACATTTTAAACCTGTTAGGTGCAAGCTTAATTTGAGGTAAGTTTTTTTTTAAATGTTTAAAGAAACATTTCTTTAAGAAAGCCCTCCAAATAATAATCAACACAGCCCAAAAATCACTGGCTGCTCACTACCCTCCCTGGAAAGCATTGCTCGCTCCCATTATCTCTCAAGGGCCAAAAACATCGTCAAGGACACATCCCGTCCAGGACATCACCTGTTTAATCTTCTGCCCTCAGGCAGGCGGTACAGATCCTTAAGAGCAAAAACCACTCGCTTACAGAACAGTTTCTTCCCAGTTGCTATTAGGACTTTAAACTCATAAATGCACTAATGCTAAAATACTATTCCAACCACGTTATTCTTTTAACTACAGTCACTTATTTCATTCAAATTTCTTCTGTCTGTACTGCTGCTATACAACATGCAATATACAATATTGTACAATACGCAGTATGTCAATCTGCAATACCACTGTCTGAACACTTTATTTATCAGAACTTCAAACAATGTGAACACTATATCTGCAGTAAAGGTGCAATAATATATGTGCAATAATATACACTATATGTCAATGTGCAATACTATCTCTAGTCACTTATTCACCACAGTTACTCATTCCATTTAAATTGTACTTTTGTATAAACTTACTGTGTATATCAATGTGAAGGCCAACATGCAATACTATAAATGGTCACTTTACTCAGATTGCTCAATGTGAATATCATGACTCAGTCACTTGTTGTATTTACTTGTAAAATTGTACTGTACAGTCTTATAGTCTTATTTATTGTATGTGGTTATATGTTTGTTTTTCTAACACCAGTCAGGAGCAGTGCTCCTAATTTCGTTGTATGCAGAAAAATACAATGACAATAAAGGCTTTCAATTCAATTCAAATTCAATTCAATTCAAGTCACTAATATTCACTTAGGCTGCATTTATTTGATCAAAAATACAGTAAAAACAGTGATATTGTTACAATTTAAAATAACTTTTTAGTTTTTTTAATATGCTTGTGATGCAAAGCTGCATCATTACTCTTCAGTGTCTTCTTTCAGAAATCAGTCTAATATGCTGATGTGTTGCTCAAGAAACATTTCTTATTATTATCAATGTTGGAAACAGTTGTGCTGCTTAATATTTTTGTGGAAACCATGCTACACTTTTTCAGGATTCTTTAATCAGTATAAACATTTATTTCAAATCGAAATCTTTTGCAACATTATAAATGTCTTTGCTGTCTCTTTTGATCAATTTAAAGGGGTCCTATTACAACTAAAGTTGAAAAAGTGAAAAAGCATAATAGGACCCCTTTAATGCAGATTTGCTGAATAAAAGTTTTTTTTTTTTTCACCAAAAAAAAATATTGAGATGCATGTTAATACTAGTCATAAAGAGATGTTGTGTTGTTTCAGGATGAGCTGTTAGCTGAACTAGAGGAGCTGGAGCAGGAAGAGTTGGATAAGAACCTCCTGGAGATCGGAGACAATGTACCACTGCCAAACGTGCCCTCTACATCCTTACCTGCCAGACCAGGTACTAAACACACACTCACACACACACACACACATTCACATACATGGTGTTTGGAAACATAAGTCTCCTGATAGCTAGTTTTGTTTTAGACAGTTTTAGTTCTAGTTTTTGGACAGTGTGACACGCCAACTGCATATGCCGGTTCAAAAAGAAATTTGGTGTAGAAAAAATTGGTAGTAAATGTCATGTATTGACTGAAACATGACATTTTAATGTAAAGAAAAAAATTTGTATTTTAGCCTTTATGTATAATGCATTATAATTGAAGGTATTCATAACATAGGTTGTAATGCATTATGTATTTTTATAAATTACTGTAACCAAAGTTAAAATGCATTATAATATGTATTTGTTTGTCATGTGTTTTAGTGCATTATACTTTCTAAAGGTGTAACAATGAATAGATAAGTATTATAATATGTTATAAATTTGGCTATAATTATTCATGAGATCATACGATTTTTGCATTACAAGGCATAATTAATGCATTAAAACTACTTAAAGTAAAGTGTTATCATATTTTCTTACTAAACCTACTATAATAGTTGTTTTATTTACAACTTGATAAAATATGTTTTACAGTGTATGTGTGATTTTATTCATTTTATTTTTATTTATTTATTTGTTGTTGTTGAAATTGTTCATAAAGAAATAACTTACTTGAAAAACATAACCTTTGTATTAGTAACAGGTACTTCACATGACATATTAAGTCATTTCTGGTCATTTTGGTGCTGCAAATCTCTTGTATTAAAAGCAGTTCTTGAATGTCTTTCATAAATGCAGCAAAGAAGAAAGAAGAAGAGGATGAGGATGACATGAAAGACCTGGAGGCGTGGGCTGCCAATTAATGCTCCCCGAAACCCATACGCTATACAAGGCATAAACCTCACTCCAATACCTGTTACTAAAGGACCTGGAAGGACTCTTCAGTATGTTACAGTATGACGTCTTTGTGTCTAAAATAGGTTCATATTTAAACACACACGAGAGGAAAACAAAAACATAAATGCAACTGCTCAAAAAAAAAAAAAAAGACAAATCTCCGCCAGGCTTCCGGTCAACACACTCATCTAAGCAAGTCTGAGATTTTGCCTCGTTTCTCCTCATCTCTGGACTGTTCAGACATGACAAAAGGCTTGTTGTAGCTCAGTGTTTGTGTGTTCGGCACTCCATTAACTGTAAAAGTAGTCATATATTTTCAAGCTTCCATCACAAGGAATCCTCAGCTTGGTCCGAGAAACCAATACTCACGGAAACCCTCTGCACGCAGGGGAAAGTGTCTGTAACGATCTGTCGTGTTTTTGGAGAGAACATGTGGTATATTACGAGTTCATTTGTTCGCAAGTTCTGTTAAAAGCACTGTAAGCCCCGTTTGATTCTGTGCATCGAGCGTTTCAGTGCAGGTGCTTCCCACGTCCAATATCTGCAGCGCCCACGGGACGTCTTAGATCAGAACTTAGGCTTTATGAGTACAAGTCTTGCTCTCCGTTTCGGGACTGAGGTGGGCATGAAGATTGAGTGCTGCTGCAACTGTAAGGCTTTTACTGTACATAGCATCTCTCTTTAATGGCATGCCGTTTTACGGTCTCCTGACAGCATGGGATTCCTATATGGAATAGGTCTCTTCACTCGAGAAACGTGTACTGTATTTGAGATATTTCAGAAATACTGGCTATTGATTCTAAGATATCTTTTCACTTGAAGTGGTTTTTTGAACCTGAGTGTTGTATTAGGGGAAAAACGACAAGGTTTGTTGTAGATTTCAGATTGTTGTCTTATATTTGAGGTGTGAACGCATTCAAACAGATTTGTACAGACAGGACAGACTGCACAGATTATTGTAATATGCTTTTTTTTACAGAGTGCACAATTATGATGTTCTGGCACAGTGGTTTTATTCATTTTCCTCTCCTGAGAGTCTATAAAACATTTGAGTATTGAATATTGAGAGGTGAGAGAAGCACTAAACTTATCAGACTCGGAAAGTTTAATTCACGTTTATTGTTTGTTTGTCTTTTTGACGCTCTTCGTTTATGTTGTCCTTCGCTGCCTTTCAACCTTACACCTGCATTAAAGTTTTGCCCAATTAACACCTCTCTGGATTTTTATTTGCGCAATAGATATTCCTTCCGTTGTTTACCTAATATTTCTTTATTTATGCACTTCACACAGCATCATGGTACATTCACACGGGGCATCGGCGTTGACGCTTGATGGAGGGCGTTTCTTTTAAAGGGGTCATATGATGTTGCTAAAAAGAACATTATTTTGTGTATTTGGTGTAATGAAATGTGTTCATGCGGTTTAAGGTTGCACCAAGAGCTTGTAACACTCCAAAGAGAAAGGAAAAATTGAAATCGCATCATATGACCCCTTTAAACTTGGTGCTGATGCGACCGTCATAGTGACAACAGCCAATCACGTTAGTTTTCTGGTGGTGCATAAACGCGATTGGCTAGTGTCTGCACCAGGGTATTTGCATAAGGCGATCTGATTGGCTGACGCCTGCGTTGGCGCTTGAAAAGTTGAAAAGTTTTCAACTTCTGCCGCAAGCAACGGACCCACAGTTAATTTCGGCAACGCTTGACGGCACTCCATTCAAAGTAAACGAGAGGCGTTGACGCAGTGCTCACCTTGAAAATGTGTTTTTGTCTATTGAATATGAATTTGTAGAAACAGTGTCCAGGTAGGAGAATGCCCACTGGTCCATTGCAAGCATACAGTCATTAATCTTTCAGAGACACCAATGGAATATGTTATGGTGCTTTTCTGTTTCTTTCTTGCAGTGGAAAGGAAAAGTAAGGCTTTGAAGCAACATGCTGTCTGTAATAATGCAAACTGATTTGTATAGGATGTGAAAGACGAAGCTTTAATACATTTGTATGTTTTCATTATCTCGTAGGTGTTATAGCATTATTGTTATAATCTCACTTATTATTGTTATTAAAATATTTTGACTGAGTTTCTATTGGTCCTGGTACATGACTTAAAGAATTCAACTAAAATGAGGCTTCAATACAGTAAGAGCACTTATGTGAAAAATAAACACATATACACTTCCATTCAAAAGTTTGGGATCAGTAAGATTTGTTAAAATATATGAATAAAAAATAAATGAATTAAAAGTGACAATAAAGAAATGTTGAAAAAGATTTCTATTTCAAATAAATTCAGAACTTTCTGTTCATAAAAGAGTCCTGAAAAAATGTATCAGTTTCTACAAAAATATTAAACAGCACAACTGTTTTTAACATTAATAATAGGTAGAAATGTTTCTTGAGCAGCAAATCAGCATATTAAAATGATTTCTGAAGGATCATGCGACACTGAAGACTGGAGTAATGATGCTGAAAATTCAGCTTTAACATCATAGGAATAAATTACGTTTTAAAATACATTGAAATAAAATATTTTTTAAAAATAGCTGTTTTATAATAATATTTCACAATATTACTGTTTTTACTGTATGTTGGATGAAATAAATGCAGCCTTGGTGAGCATAAACTACTCTCAAAAACATTTTTTAAAAATTGTACGATTCCGAACTTTTGAAATATGAAATTTGAATATGAAAATTCAAATATTTTAAATATTATTTCACAACATTACTACTGTATTTTTGAACAAATAAATGTAGTGCTGGAGAGCATAAGACTTTCAAAAGCATTAACAAATCTTACCGACCCCAAATTTAGTTAGTCTAAGTAATAATCTACCTCCACTGATCATTCAGATCAGTCAGTTGCACAATTCTGACCTCATACCATCCATTAAACATTTAAGAATTGTATGATTGACAGAGTGTTTAGTAAATATGTCAATGATATGTAAATCTTCAGTCTTTCAGGTTTAATTTCATCACACAAACCAGACAATTTCAGATATGGGGATAAACATGGGGCATATTTTCAGGACATATTGAATTGACTTTATACAGGGGACCCTAGTGTTATCCAAATAACCCAAAATGACCCCTGTTCAACTGAAACTGTTCATAGTAGCTCTAATTTATAGGGATTTTACAAAACAAAAACAAAAAAATTATATATATATATTAGTGAAATTCCTATCAATTACAAAAAAAAATCCAAAAAGCATCTTTCTTCCCACCAGCTCAGACCAGTCGTCATGATGTTAAATAATGGTAAAACACAAAAGCCAGTTGAAACTTGCATTAATCAAGCTCTCCACATTCCAAATGATATTACACGCCTTAAACCACCGTGGATTCTCATTGGCTATCGTAGGAGCAAATGAACACGCCCACTATGGTTTATTTAGAGCGATAAGGCGGGGCATATTTCGGCCAACGAGAAACGAGAGGCTGTACGATATCATGAATATTACAACAATCAGTTTGTACACATTTATATTCAAGTTCACATAAGTTACCTCCTTTTCTGCACTCACTCAGGTCGACAGCCGGGCTCAGGACCAACCCATATCAGGCTTTACCTAACGACAGCACAGCAAAATGTCAGAGAAGCTTCCATTCAAAGTTGGTTAGTATAAGTTTATTTGATTATTGACTTCAGATCATGCTCGATGCTGTTCTGCACAAAATCATGCAATCATGTTTTTGCCGCCAGTGCTAATTAGCTAATTCCACTCTGGTGATTTCTAATAAGCTCTCTTATAGACTCTCGATAAAGCGTACGATTCTCTGCAAAAGGGTTCCGAGTTGTATTTTTGGTCGTGCATGAATTGTTGCAGATCTTGCTAGTGCTTATGTATCACATGGCAGTAGAGGCGTCATTGTCAGCGCTGCCTTGCACGAGACGCACTATTGCAATCCCACCCCCATAAAATCACTGTTCGCGCACTTAATATGTCTAGTTTATTATTATAGCCATTTTGTGCTTGCTCACAAAGTATTCTATATGATTTTATATCTAACACCTGTCAAACAAGCTAGCGTGGTTCCATTCGTGAAGAAGAAAGTTTGGAAGTTGTAGTTTTTTGCGTGCACTGTAGAATCTCCATGTTATGAGATTGTCTGCACTGCTAGACTACATTTCCCATAATGCAGTAGTCAAACGCGCCGCCACTTTTCGTTGAGCGTAGCCATTCATTTTTGCGAATCGGTTCTTTTGAACAGTATAGTGAACAGTTCATAAAATGGCTCAGCTGCGCTTTACGTAATCACGTGGACCCTGACACTTCCACTTTAAAGTAAGGAAACGTTTAATTGGGTTTTTCAATCATGTTTTATTAATAGCTGTTATAGTAATTTTGTGCATCTCAGTTAGAACATAGTCATTTAGAGCCTAAATGCGATTTGCATATACATTAAACAATATTAAACTTAATTTACGGGCTGATTAATTAATTTACCTACTGACTACAAAGTATTGGCACTTTTTAAAAAACATACTGCGTTTCGTTTGCATGCTAATAAACGTCATAAAAGTCATAAACATATTTCCAGTTCGTATCAATGAAACCCTCGGTTCACTCCAAATGGTTTTGTGAATCAGTTCAATCGATTCATTGAAAAGGTCCGGTTCAAAAGAACAGTTCCTTCTGCTCGTGGTTGAACAAAAATGAATGTTAGGCGCTAAAAAGCTGTACTTCGAGTTGCGACAGATTAAACACACTTAAGTTCATATCTAAACTGTTGTTTTTGCGTCGCGTTTAGTCACACGTCAGCACGTCAGGACTTGGCAGCGTCTGTTGTTGTTTTTCAGCAAACTTCTCTGATGTGCTCTGTGCAGATAAGGCTCAAGTAATTCAATAGTAAATCCATCTGGACTTTGCTCCCTAGTCTTAACAGATCAGAGTTCAGTTTTTCAAAATCAGTGAATGAAATGTCGAAGTGCACCAGTACTGCACTCTTATTTATTAAGAGCCCATCCTGAAGGCATCTTACAAGGTTTCCATGGTCCATTCACTTTGCTAAAACAGCATCTTCTCTGGCAGGTGTGTTTTCCTCCATGTCTGCAGTGGTAATAACCCTGGTAGTAAAATATAATCGGTGCAGACTGAGAAAAAGGGATATCTTTTGGGTTGCCTATTGGTTGTTAAGTGAGCATATGAAACCAAGCACCATCTCCTCAACCAGTTCAAAACATATTAGGTATGTGGTTTTGGGTGTCATCTGTTGAATTCCTATTCTAGATGTCCAAATATGAGACTGACACTTTAAAGACCTCTTTAACTTGCGTGTTATAATGGGATTTGTTGTTACTATTTAACTGTGCTTTCAAATGCATTAGTGAAAGTTTACATAATCTGTACTAGTTTGACTATTTAATTTAATCATTCTTTCAGTTTCCTGAATTTAGCATTTGCTTTATGCCTAATCTGTTGTCATTTTCTCTCTGTCCAGCTGATATCAGCCTGGCTGAGTGGGGACGTAAAGCCATCGACATAGCTGAGAATGAGATGCCGGGTCTGATGAAGATGAAGGAGCTCTATGGCCAGACCAAACCCCTGAAGGGCGCTCGCATCGCAGGCTGCTTGCACATGACTCTACAGACCGCTGTGCTCATTGAAACCCTGACCGCCCTCGGAGCAGAGGTGAGGATGCAAACGCGAAACCATTAAAGAAATAGTTATTTCCCTAAAAAACAAATTTATATTTGTGTTAAAAAATGCATTTTGCACTTGGTTTGACGTTAGTAGATTATGAACTGTCTAGGTATGGAAAATAACTGTATTAGCATTCTTTGAAATTTCATCAAATTGTCAATAGCTGCTTTAAAATTCTTCTTTCGAGTAAACCATGACACCGTTTTCATTTTGGTGCAAAATGTTTCTTTAAAACTATTAAAAGTAGGGTTTAAAAATGTAAAATTCAACAATTACTGAATGTGTAGTATTTCTTTGCTGCTTGTTTGGCTTCACTAATAAAAAATATGGTATTGCTATATGTTTTTTTTTCTTTTTATTGTTGCAATAAATGAAAACTTTTATTCAGTAAGGATGCATTAAATTGATCAAAAGTGATGGTAAAGTCATTTATAATGTTGCAAAATATTCAAAAATGCTGTTTTTTTTTAACTTTCTATTCATCAAAGGATCCTGAGGGGGAAAAAAAGTCATGGTTTTTCAGATGGTAAAGTCATTTATAATGTTGCAAAATATTCAAAAATGCTGTTTTTTTTTTTACTTTCTATTCATCAAAGGATCCTGAGGGGGAAAAAAAGTCATGGTTTTTCGGGGGGAAAAATATGAACTGTTTTCAACATTGATAATCATAAGAAGTGTTTCTTGTTCAACAGATCAGCATATTAGAATGATTTCTGAATGATCATGTGAGACTGGAGTAATGATGCTGAAAATTCAGCCTTGCCATCACAAGAATTAATTACATTAAGTAGTGCTGTCAAACGATTAATCGCATCCAAAATAAAAGTTTTTGTTTACATAATATATGTGTGTGTACTGTGTATATTTATTATGCATATATAAATACACACACATGCATGTATATATTTAAGAAAAATATATTACCTTTATATATATCAAATATATTTATATAGGAGATCATTTATATGAATATAAATATTTACATGTAAATATTTTCAAAATATATGCTGTATGTTTGTGTCTGTGTATATATATATATATACAGTGGGTACGGAAAGTATTCAGACCCCCTTCAATTTTTCACTCTTTGTTATATTGCAGCCATTTGCTAAAATCATTTAAGTTAATTTTTTTTCCTCATTAATGTACACACAGCACCCCATATTGACAGAAAAACACAGAATCGTTGACATTTTTGCAGATTTATTAAAAAAGAAAAACTGAAACATATATTATGTAAACAAAAACTTTTATTTTGGATGTGATTAATCGTTTGACAGCCCTAATTTTAAGATCTATTACAACAGGAAACTGTTATTTTAAATTGTACTAATATTTTACAATATTTACCATATTTTTGATTTAAAAAATAATCCTTGGTGAGCATTAGAGATTTCTTCCAAAACATTCAAAAAAAATCTTACCGACCCTGTGTATGCCATGGTATTCTTTGAAATGTAAATACCGTGGTATATAATACAATGTTATTATTAGTATTATTACAACACGATTCCGTCATTTTATCATGGTATTGCCACAGTACTTTGTTTGGAAAGGGACAGTACAGTTTCTTCACCTTTTTTTCATACTCCTAGAAGCCTAAACTTGATATCTGATTGAAATGCATCGCTCTTCTTATCCCCTATTTCCTCTGTCAAATTGGAATTTCCCAGCCCAAGGCCATATTTTATCCAAGTTTTTTATCCGAGACTAATGTATGAAGTCTGTGCACGTCACATGCTCTCATTCCTTCTCCTTGATCTCTGTGTGCTCCAGGTCCAGTGGTCCAGCTGTAACATCTTCTCCACCCAGGATCACGCAGCAGCAGCCATTGCTAAATCTGGCGTTCCAGGTAACAGTTGTTGGTGTGCTAGACTGACTGCCCACTGTTTGCTCTAAAGCTGCGTAATCAAATCTAGATAAGGAGAACTCAGAGTTTAGAGACACATCCAGCTTAAAGCATGTGCTCCATGCTGGGTAAACCTAAATGGGTTTTATCTTTAGATTTGACTCAACGTTTTTGAAGGACTAAAATGCAAAAGCGCGCAGGCAAAGATAACTCTATCAACATCATCATTACAGCTTTCAGTTGATGAAAGACTTTTCCCATGCAGTTTTTAAGCACTAAAACCTTCATTTAAGGGATACAAGCTGAATGATGTTTAGTGTTAAATATGTTAAACCGTTTATAAGAGATTGTAAAACATTTATCTAACATCATCCAACAGATTTTTAGCCCGGTTTCACGTGTAAAATGCCTATTTTAAGTCTCTTCTTAGGCAGCAACTTACAATGCTCCCGAAAGCATAAAAATACACAGGTATTATATTATAATAAAACACATTGGGTGAAATAGTCTGGTTTTATTAGATTAAATAACTCTAAATATATTCTTGGATGGATTTGTTTATCACTGATCACGGTGCATTATGATTCTCCGCAAAGGATAAGCCTAAATGCAGTGCTTCCTAAGAACTTGGCCTTAAGAAGGTGTTTTAGTTAGCAGCATAATTATGCTGAAAGTGTTTTGTAATCGGGAGCATGACTATGGTGCATTAAAATGCTGCTTACTTGCTCACAAGGTTGTGGAACAGAGTCATATATTAGTTATTAGTTAGATTAGAATATTAGAATAATAGTTTAGACCTTACTACATTGGGGTTTTGAGACTAAATTGCAGATGCAGCTTATGTGTTTGAATTAGTGTTATTGCATTATCTGTGCATTACATTATCTTATTGTATTATCTGTGTCTAATGTATGTGTGTGTGTGTGTATGTTGTATGTGCTGTATTGTAGTGTATGCCTGGAAGGGAGAGACCGATGAAGAGTATGTGTGGTGCATAGAGCAGACCATCTATTTCAAGGACGGTCAACCTCTTAACATGATCCTGGACGACGGTGGAGACCTGACCAATCTGGTGCACCAGAAATACCCCAAACTGCTTGCAGGTATAATGTAGTCTGTGTTTGTTCTGTCATCTACTCGCCCTCTTCCTCAACAGCCAGAGGTCATGAAGAGTCATTCAGACTACTCATATAAGTACTGTTTAATTTCATTGCCCCAAATACTATCATTGTATGAATTTCCCTGGCTAGTAAACAGTGCTTCTGGCCTGCTGATGCTTATCATTTAGTTTTACTGTACTGTTGTTTAATGGCCACTAGATGGCAGGCCTATCCGCGATCAAGCTGTTCCATTCTTGACTAAGCAAAGCTTAGCATTATAGCATAGTATTAGCAGTCTTGTAAAACTGAAAAGCATAGATTGATACTTACCCTAGAAGAGAAAAGGGCAAGTATCTGTTGTTGTATTTGACCGAGAGTGGAAATCATGTGGTGTTAGTTTTATGCTATAAATGTTGTCAAATTTGATTTATTTATGAGGCTGCTCTGTTTGACCTCTGACCTTTGGTAGGGTTAAGAATCTGGTCTGGTAACCAGGATCAAATAAATGCAGCCTTGGCGAGAAATTCTTTCAAAAATTGATTGATTGATCGTATGATTCCAAACGTTTGATTGTAGTGGTAAACTTTATTAAATATGAAAACTGTATGATGGCAGTGTAATGAAGAGGAAAAATAAACCCTACAAGCTTCCTCTTGTTTCTAAGGGCCTGACATGGGGTCTTTCTGCCACTCCTGGCTATGGCGGGCGAATGTAGACAAATTACAGTCCATAATTATTTATAACAGAACAGACCATGAAGAGATGCAAAATTAAGCAATGGGCAAAATGTTTTTTTTTTCCCAGTCATGGAATTTTCTATGATTAATATCATTTTATAATTTGCAATTTTTTTAGCATATATTTTATTCTATGTAAAATGTTTTTTAATTACGTTTAGTATTCTTTGGCTTTGGGAGTGTGATATAACAGTATTAAAATACGGTGGCCGAGAGAGCTCAACGCACTGCAACTTAAGAAAACACATGCAAATTGAAAAAACAATGTTTCAAGGGGACCCAAAAAAGTGACGGACCCGGCTGGGATTTGTTTTGTGCAGTGGCTTTTTTTTTTTTTTTGAGTTTCTGCTAGTGAGTCCTTTTTTTTTAATTTTTTAATTTTTTATTGAAGATATAACATTCGCAGGGGATACAGTCATAGCAGTAAATTACATACACAACCAGAATACAAAACAATAAATATATAAAGAATAATAAAAATGAAATATAAACAGAACAAAAACAAATAAAAAGTTAAACATCTTTTCTTTTTTTTCTTTTTTTTTTTATAAATAAATCATAAATAAATTAAAATAAAAAATAACTTAAATGGAAAATTACACATAAAATGTCAACTTCAAAGAATACACAGGAGGTAACCCTTACATCAAAGTCAATATTTTTTCCATCAATACAGTAGTTTTAACAGCTTTCTTATTAAGTGATGAGCAGAGAGATTCATAAAATAATTTCAAATCAATACAAAAAA